AACAGAAAAGAGTTGCAAATATGATTTATATTATTCTAATTTTATCAATTACTGTCTAATTTTAATCAATACTTTACCCTATTCAGTAACATTTGACTAAGAAGTAAAATAAGAAGAAATGTAATTAAGGCAGTTTCATAAAGTTTATTCACAGATTATTCAAATTTTGACACTCTGATTCATACCATACCAGCCTTCTCCCATTAAACTGATTTTACAAAATGTCCTGTCTGGAACAATTCTCAGAATGCAGTTTACTCAGAACATGTACTTGGAAATCCAGAGAAGCCTGACCCTGCTGGGATGTCGAGTCTCCCTGGGATCTGAGAAGACGGTTCCACAGTCCATCCAGTGTTAAAGAAGTGTTGTCTCCTGTGGGGACCAGGCCTGGAGATGGCTTCTGGGGACCTGAGTACAGAGGTTAATAAGATGGAGGAATCCTTTGCTTGTCCCTGATAAAGACCGCTGGTCCCTTGCCTGAAGGTTGACATCATTAGCAGGGGTGTAATTCTCGAAGCTTGACTTCAAAGTCTCGATGCTAGGCAGAAATGTTTTCCCACTGTGCTAACATCTCTCTGGTGAATTCTCAGAAGAGCACATACCTGCTGGCATTTCTGATGTCACACATGCTCACACACAAAACCAGAAATCACTGGAGCAATGAGGGGTCAGGGGCCCACCAAGCTGAGGAAATGTTTGTGTGTTTTGCATTTTGTTAAAAGAAAATGTAGAAAGAAATATCAACAGTCTTTGTTCAGATTAATAAAAGAAAGAGGTTCTCAAAAAACATGGATGTCAAAAGTACAGTGTTCCTGGAGGCCATGATGTCAGGATAAAATAATTACCTCAAAGGGACAATTAGGAATTGGACAATGAGAAGAAATGGGATGGACAAAAGGAGATCTCTGCACAGTCGCAACCCAAGCGTGAGGAAATTCTGGTTGTCGCCCGTGTTAAAGCTGAATGCTTTCAACTAATGGAAGAAATTACTGATGGATAAACTTTCTGATTGGAATCCATGGGCTCTCTCTGGAGTTGCTGGATGGAGTAGAACTAGCAGAGAGTGAAGGAGGGGCAGGAATCACAGTCACAGTGTCACATGGTAATTTCTGAAGTAGTGGGCTGTGTTCTCTGGAAAGAAATACAAGTTGTGAAACCAAGCAGGAAAACAGATTTTAATCTTGGTTTTGCCTGCTGACTGAGGTTTGAAGTTGAACACTCTCCCAAAGTGAGACCAAGTCAGTGCCCCCAACATCACTGGGCAGGTCAGGTTCCGTGTCCAGCTGTGTTTCCTTTGGCCCTCCCTTCCTCAGAGCTGGCTTCCAACTCCTCTTTCCCTAAGTCTTCATCTCGCTTTTGAGACACTCCCCCAGAATCAACTACACCCAAATGAACCTTCAGTTTTTGTGATGTAGAACAGAAATCAGATAACAAGGCCTGAACAGACCCATCAGACTGGGCAGCTCCCTGGTTCCCACCTTTAATCCCAGTTAGCTTAACTTTAAAGGAAAAATGTATGTTCTTGCATTTGTTCTCAAGCCTATATTACTCTGTGTTTCAGCACAGTTTACCCAGAAGAATATGCATATTTAAAATGCAATTTTTCTTTGTTCTCATTATTTGGAACATACGTAGATAAGGAAGGTAGAAAATGTTCCCAGTCCATGAACAACCCCTAACTGTATTACCTGGACAAACAAGAGTAAGCATGTGCTACCCTTTGCTAAGACTGTGTTATGTATTATGAATGGTTTTGTGCGTTACACATTTCCTGATGCAACCTTTATAAGAACTTTTGGGGCAGTCTCACAGGGATAAAGCAGCTAGCTCAGTCATATAGCCAGGAAAAGACACAGGCAAGTGTGTGACCCAGGCAGTCTAGCTGGAGGTTGAACAATGACCTTGTGCTGTCCCCTCTCCACCAGAAGCCTCAGTTCCTGATGTCCACTACTATTTGTATTGGAAAGGCTCCCTGTCTGTGGCAGCAGAGTCAGACCACTCAATTACTTTCCCAGTCCAACTGCCAGAAATATTCTGCAGTACAAACTGAGTAACAGCCAGGTGCCCAAATATTACAGAAGATAGTCATTCGACCAGTAGCTCTGACCACTTCCAAACATAGCATTTATCACCCTTTCCTCAGATGCCAAATGTACACTATGTTATTCTTGTAGTTTGCACCTCCTGACTAAGCAGAGAGACATACATGTCAGAGACTTAAATTTGCTCAAAAAACAAAGGTAATAAATCCAGGCATATTAAGCTGACCAGCCCAGGGACTGTACCATGGTAGTCAACAGTGGCCTACTATACTGATTCCAACAAGTGGTGCATGTCCAGTCTATGAAAATTAGGTCAACTTAAGAAGGTGGTCAGTGAGGAAGAGTCATCAACTATGGAGGTCCTACTGTGTGAGCGGCCCAGCATTACTGCAGCAAAGGTGCTAGTTTGACTGTTTATTTACTTGAACACTGTCTGGACACCACCACCACAGGCTGAAGATTAACTTCATGAGATTAGGTGCCTTGTCTGCCTCATAGTCGCTGCACCATCTCCAGATGGAAGGCCTGGAGTAAAGCCTCCTACATAACAAGTGTTCAACCAAACCATAAACCATATAGCAAATGACCACGAGCACCAAGACCATGATGGGCAACATAATAAAGGCAGTAAGAAGTCTTTCCTGGCAGTAAGAAGCACAGTTCCTGTGTCTGGAGAACCACAATGCTAAGAAAAGGAATTTGGAAAAATTCTTACATAAACCAATGCTAAGTAATCACTAAGAATTGGTGGAGAGCAGAGTAGGATTCTGTGATGGTTTTGTAAAGTGCCACCTGGGAGAAGCTAAAATACATCTCCTGGGGTCTCCTCTCCATTTGGGTGGGACCACCGGGGAGGCCCTTGCGGGTGTGCTGCTGATCAGCTGGCTCTCTTCACTGACATGAAGCACGCCTTGACCTGCCATCACTTTCCCTCCCCTGGGTCCTCCCTCAGCTCTCCTGATGCCGGCATGTGTGCAGAGCTCCAGTATGATGGGGGCCCTGCTTCCTTCAGAATGTTCAGTTACCAAGATCAGAGGTGATAAGACAAGACACACATTTCAGTCTATCCACATGCTCAAAGGGTCCTGTCTGCTTACAACATTCCCTTCCTGCAGCTGCCTGCCTGGAAACTCTAGTCTGGAGGAAAACTGCCCTACAGAGACTACTTGACCATGTCCATGATTGCACAAGCCCAATTATCTGTAGCAAATGTGTGTGTGTGCAAGCCCATGCACACGCACACAGTGGTTTTGCTTCTCTAGTTGATCTTAGACTTATAGGGATGTCTTACATATTAGACAAAGGAATCTGAAAAAGTTCCAGATATATATGGGAAAGGGAGGTAATCCTAGAAGGGGAGATATTAGGGATTACATAAGACTATTGAGTGCAGAAATGAACTGATTCACTGTGGCTCAACTGGATGTGTGCCCAGCTCTGGACATAAATCAGTGATTACTACATGGTTCTGTTTTGGAATCAGTGAATGCTATAAATGAGAAGGAAATGAGATGCGTACCATAGGACATATCAGGTAACTAACAGGTTGAATAGAAAGCACAATTAAATTTAAGGGGGTCAGAGGGTAGAAGAGAGGGAGATAGTGGCCACAATGTAAGCATATATAGCCCACCCCTGGGTTAGGGGCAAATAATATAACCTAACAATTTATACCCTCATATTAATCCAAAATGTTAAAAAAGCTAAACTACACAGACACAGGCCCACAGAATCAAAAGCTGAAAGATGAGGATAAAATATAGAAAACAGTTCATGAGACTTTTTTTCTCCTAGTAAAGTAAGGAAAACCTGTAAATATTCTAGGAAATGTATACCCCTAGGTTATGTAATACACTGACAGACAGATAAATCTTTGATTCATGGATATTTTTCTGCTGCCTGTAGTACTAACATTGCCTCCAGAGTGAGTTCCCTGGGTCATTAAAGAACATTCAGAATAGTTATGTTCTTTGGAGAAGCCCCTAATGATTCAGAGTCAGGAAAGCTACGTAGGGGACCATGGACATTAATTGGCACCTCCTCCTACATGCTGACACTTGGCAGTGACGCTCTCAGTTTGGGGGCCACCTACATACATGAGAAATTCTATGCTTTAGGACATGGAGTCTCAAAGCACGCTGCCATGTAGAATAATATGGCCCACATATAATCATGGATCCCTGAGAGAAAGGTCGTTTTTACTTCATGCAGATTCAAGAAACAAAAGAGGAGGTAGATGTTCTTCTTCCAACTCATGTTCCCCGGAAGACTCACACATCTCATTGCCCATGGGAAGCCCAGACGTATTTTAGCTGTAATTAAAATTATGACTATAATTAAAACTTTACTTAAGGAACTTAGAATAATTGAAAATATATCAAAATGAAAGCAGTGTGACAGTGTTGCAAACATTTGAATTTTGACATTTGAGAGGATAGGGTTCATATCTTTGCTCTCCAGGATGGGGAGCTATCGTCTTTCCTCAGTGAAAGAGGAATACCACTTATATTGGTGCAAGGACTTCCAGAGCTTCTGTACCTTGAAGCATTATAACACCACCTGCAGAGTTAATATTAAACACATTTTTCCCTCATTTAATCTGCATCTCCTTCCAAAGCCTTATTTATTTCCTCGGTGACCTTTGGAAAAGTCACCTCCCTGGGAGGCAAATCTGATCTATAGAATGTTTACATTGAAAAGTTTTAAGGAAAAAAAAAAGCTTTAAGGACTAAATAGGATGATATATTCAGATATAAGTGGTCCAAAAGCATTTAATTATATCATCCTGGATTAGTTATTGAAGAAAGTATCTAATGCTTTAGGAAGAAGGGAAGGAATCTTTTTCTTTAAATCTGTTGCGCATTAAACCTCCCATAATGGAACAACGGCATTCCTTGCTGCACTAAGGATAAGGGGAAGAGGTGATGATATGAAGCATACTCTTTCTTTCTGTCTTTTTAAAATATGGACCATTTCACGCACTTGTGTGTCATCCTTATGCAGAGGCCATGCTAATCTTCTCTGTATTGTCGTAATTTCAGCATAGATGTTGTCAAAGCCAGCACTAAAGTTTACTTTCTCAGTAAATGTCATCTCAATGTGATAATGCATTTTGTCAATCCACCATTGAGAACTCCATGTAATAGAGTATTGAGCAGACAGCCTCCTGAAATACAAAACAAAATTAAAATGGAAAAGTTTCTAGATATGGAAAAAATGAGTATCTTTGGCAACATTTGATGGTTTCTCCCTGGAGGAGAAGAGTCATGTTAAGTTAATCATCAGCACATCTGTGGAAAACCTTTGTGTTGAGCCACAAGTTCACATCAGCTGGGACGTGGCAATGAACAGTGAGGTGTCACCCAGATCCTTCTTTTAGAAATGATAGAATTGCAGCTACTGGGAGCACTGCTCTCTGCTGTCAGCCTCCAGTGGGAACTGTCTCAGCTGAGAGATCCAAGCTTGGTCAAAGTCCTATCAGTGGCCTTGAGTAGCCCGTGTTCAATGACCTCACAAAACAAAGATAAAAATAACAGCTTCCTCCATTAAAAATCAGAATAACCCCGAGGGGTCATCAAAGCATCAGAACACTCCTGAGGGTAAGGCCGCCACTGAGGTTGCCTCAGGACCTCCCCTGTCCCCCGACCTTGCTTCCTCTTTTATCACCCACTGGAGTTCATTCCAGGAACACTTCTGAACCACTCTTCTGCTTGCTAAGCTCCAAGTGTCCACTTCCTGAAAACCCACCATTGGTGCTGGAAATGACCAAAAGCTGATGCTTGGAGGAAAGCCGGATCTATAGCACCTGTGCTCTGAGTGGCAAGGAGGATCCTGCTGCAAACGAGGACTTTCCACAGCGTGGTGCACTCAGTAAAGCTTTTGCTCAGTGTTGAAATGCAATGGAAGGCCGGTGGAAAGCAGAGTGTCATCTGGTGTGATATAGACCTCATTTGAAAAATACAAGGGAAATAGACAATGGAAGTGGGTGGCCAGAGCTGAGCTCAAATCTCACTACAGAAAATAGATTAAAAGAGCTGAGAGTGTTTAATCAGCAAATGAGAGCTGAATGTGAAAACTAGAGGGTGTGCTTGGAGCACAGAGTCAGGATCTCATCTCCTGCAGCTGTATGGCACAGAAAGCTGAGGACTTGGTTAATCGCTTAATTGCAGGAGTAGTCAACTCCAAAAATAAATTCCCAGCTAAGAAAAATCTTCCACATCATTCCATGATTCTGGCTAATGAAGAATGTCCATGTGAATAGAGGACATGCAGAGGCATTTTTTTTTAATTTCCATAATCGTCTAAATATTCTTTTTTTTTTTTTCTTTTTGAGACAGAGTCTCACTCAGTCACCCTGGGGGAGAGTTCTATAACATCATAGCTCACAGCAACCTCAGACTGTTGGGTTCAAGTTATCCTCTTCCTGAGTAGCTGGGACTACAGGCACTTGCTACAATGCCCAGCTACTTTCTCTATTTTTACTAGAGACAAGGTCTTTCTTTGCTCAGGCTGGTCTTGAACTCCTGATCTCAGGCAATCCACCTGCCTTGACCTCCCAGAGTGCTAGGATTACAGGCATGAGTCACCACTCCTACGAACATTCTGATCCTGCAGAAGTTCTGCTGCCCTGCTCCTGGAACGTGATGCAAAAGTTTCTTCCTGGAAAGATAACAGGTGCCTCCTGTAGCCCTCCCTTGTCTGGATGGCAGACTGATAAGTAGCATCAAGTCACAACATAATCTGATGGGGTTAAATAGGGTCCTGATCCTGTTAAATAAGGAAAGGGGCAGGGATCCAAGAAGCAGTAAGACCTAATCAACACAGACTCCCAGCAGATGGCAAAGGTCCTCCATGTTTGGATGCTGAGAGCGTGTGATCAAAAGGGTGGGGTGCAGAATTTCAGACTGAAGAAAGGAGAATGTCCCAATTTGGGAAGACTGTCCCAAGTTTCAGAATTTACTGTCTTGGTAAAATTCCCAGGAGATGGTGCAAACATACGACAAGAATAGCTCTAGATGTGTAGAAAAGTCGGTGGCTCGCACAGTGAGAGAGAAATGACTGGATGTCATTGTAGATAGTGCCATACAGGGCTAACAAATCATAACAGTCGGCATCAGGGAGCAGGTAAGTTTGTTAGACCACAACCTCCACTGCCCGCCAAGATGGTTACGGTCCACAGGGGTGCCTGGAAGATGCGTCTTTTAGCACAGTAACAAGGGATGTGTGGTGAGAATTGCATCAGCATCCATAAGAATGGCAGCCAGATGGCTTCCCTATACTCATGGCACATAAGGCCGAGAAAGAATGAAACTCACTTCCAGAGATCAGGCTAACACTTCCCTGATATCATAGACACTGGGCAGCAACACTGAACCTTAAGAAGCCCCATGGCAATATGAAGTCTGTATCTCTCTTCAAGAATTGAGGAACTTAGGGCCACACCTGAGGCTCAAAGGAGTAGGGCGCTGGTCCCATGTGCTGGAGGTGGTGGGCCCAAACCCAGCCCTGGCCAAAAACTGAAAAAAAAAAAAAAAAAAAAAAAAAATTAGGGACTTAGTCCTCCAACTACAAGTGCAGACAACATGAATTATCAGATCCCCAGGAAAAAAACAATGAACATAAACACACAAACACATTGATAATAATCCATGTAATTTTCAAAGGGCACTTTCTCCTCTGTAGCTAGAATGTGGGATTTAGAGTCCACAAAAAAGTTAGATTCAACTACTGCTTCTACCATGTAATTTCTGGGAAATTCAATTATTAAAACCTCCATTAACCTTTGGACAACAATCTCATTGATTGTTCTTACCTATAAATCTGTAAAGTAATATTTATTTTACAATGTTGTTGTAAGAACTGAATGAGTGAATACAGGCCAGGACTTAGCACTTAGAACCCACTGAAACTGAGCCTAATTGTTGGTTTTATTTTAGCATTTGCTGCTATTACTATAAATTCTTTCGCTATACCTATGAGATACTCAGGGATGAGAACATTAGTTCCCCTAGGGAAAAGGACAATAAACAAAGTATTTTACTTACACACCAGTAGGAAGAAAGTGGTGGAGGTGGGTTTGAGGGTGCGCCTTCCGTCTCTCCACACGAGCCCTCTCCCTCCGTTAGGCATGACCTCAATGATATTAGTGAGTAGGAGTTCAGATTAGGTTGGTGGAGGTGGGTTTGAGGGTGCGCCTTCTGTCTCTCCGCACGAGCCCTCTCCCTCCGTTAGGCACGACCTCAATATTAGTGAGTAGTAGTTCAGACTATGTTACACACTAAGGTGTTGGATGATACAAATATAAAAACTCTTAGCCCTTAACTCTCATGGAAGTTTTTGATTTCTGAGGATTCTCTAGCAGAGAATTCTCTAGCAGAGGATTCTCTGAGCCCAGTGGTTCAGTTCATGCTTTAGTCCCATGAGCTGTAACCGGACTTTGCAAGCCTGTCTTCCCCTTCTACAGCAGATTCATCCATTAACATCTGTTCCCATCATGGCAACTGTCCTCTTGTTGATCCCTATCAAGAGCACTTTTCTTGTAGATTTGTTTGCTTTAGCTTGACCTGGAATAAACAATACTCTCCTCTCAGTGATAACAGGAAATGAAGAATCAGCAACGTGTCTTTGGTGGTACAATGCATATTATAGGTGTCATCACAGTCAAAGTTGATAGGTCCCTGGTTTAGAGAAAAAAAGGAAGGGATAAAGAGAGAGAGAGAGAAAAGCAAGCCAGAACAAAATTTGCAAAGACCTAGAGAGGAAAACACAATACAAAATAAAAACCAAACAGCTCTTTTTTTTTTCCCCTCTGCTTACTACCTATTTTCTAGCAATTAAAGAAACGCCATGGAATTAGGGGAAGGTCATTTGTAGGGTCTCCTGTGTCCCCTCTTCCGTGAGACAGTTCTGCTCATGACTCTGATAGTAGTATGATTATCGAGTGCCCCTTTTCACTCTCAACCTTGTGGCAGTTAGAACATAGTTTATTCTTTAAGTGTAGGGGAACAGGACTTAACCATTGTCTTGCACGGTCTAAGGTCCTGTTTATAATTTGGTGTCTTATTGACACAAAGAGTTTGTTCTGTCTGTCTTATAATTCCTATTTTAGCACTAATTCTGGTCATTTGTTCATAATAAACTGCCAAATGGAGGGAATCTGAGGAGTGTCTTATGTCTCATCCTATCATAGATGGGAGTTTAGTCTTTAAGTTTTCTCTGAGGTCCCTTTAGGTAAGAAGGGGTCCATTTAGTTGGTAGGGAGCCTTGTGATCTATTTTTAGTTTACACCCCCCCTTGATTATGAAAGGAACTTTCCCTTGGACTTTTACTGGGTCTTCTTAAATGTCTTCTGCGATACATTCATTAAAGAGCTGGCAGGGGACTCCTTTCCAAGTAAGCATGCTCACTACCTGTCCTGCTTCAATCCCGTAGTAACTGTACACTATTTGTGGATGCCTGGCTCCCACCCCCTTGTGACACGCTGATCATTACCACCTCTAGGCTTATGTCTACCTCATCCTGACATATGACCTCTGCTCAGTCCAGCCGAATCATAGAGGTTCTTTCCCTGAACACTCACTGAGACTCACTCTTCCACGTCTCTGAGGATAGTGCTTAATGCTGAGTGTTGACCAAAAGGATACCCCACAGCATAGCAGAGGGAAGAATATCAAGGTGTCCAAGAGAAGGTAATGAGTAAATTCAGAAAGAGTATACACATCAGGCAGACTTAGGGGTGAAAGGAATGCTTGGAAGAGTTCGGGGGAAATGCCCATCCCTGTTGCACATTCTTGCCGAGGTGAGTGGTAAGTAATGAATCTGTGCTGGTTCCATCAACCTGTGCCTTTGTGCTATTGCCCCAGAGAAGCCTAAAACTCATCAACACTCTCCTGGCTCCACACCGTAGGGTGAGGAGCATTGTGGATAGTCTGGGTCTAGTCACTCTCGCCTGGGAGGCTTGAGACCATCCACAAGTGGGAAGTAGGTCAGAGTGAAAGCTTTCTACCTCCCCTAGCTGTGAGACCCTCTCACGCCTTACTGAGGGACCCAGGTTCTTCTCATTCTC